TTTTTCATGTGCATTTGAAAATTACTATAACAAAGTGTGTGTTGTTGCTTTTTCTTTTTAATTTGGTGTATATGGGTCTTATACCAGGATGGCAGAGTTTCGGGATAGATATTTCATGAGGAAACATTTCATATACTTGATTTCAATCACTGCAGTGATGAACTTTTCACATTAGCAAAACACATGTTATATTTCTGAAACATTTGAATTGCAATTACTTTTTCCTCTATTTTCTAAATTTGAGAAAGTTACTTTTTTAAAGGAGAAAGTAGAGATGGAATTTGTAGATAATTTGTAGGTAGGAGAGTTGGGTTTAAAGACCATTGTGGCCACTTAGCTGAACAAGGGAGTTACCCTGAGTCTCTCTCTCTTCCTGCATCTTTGAAGTGGGAATGCCAGTGCCCTCCTGACACACTTCATGGTGGAAAGGAGACCTGTTTGTAGCAGGGCCTCGTAAAATGAAGCCTTTGGCACATGTGGTGCTATTATCACTTTAAGCTAGGGCGGGGGTCCTCAGAAGGCAGGAAGCCTTCATATGAGATGGTAAAACAACTATTTGGAAATTAAAATTGGAAACAAAGGGGGAGTAGCTGAAACCTGGCCCCATAGTAAGATGCTGTGGGACAGACAGGTTGTGCTCTGGACAAATGCTCATTTTGCATCACTATGGTACTAGAGGAAATGCAAAAAATAAAAATAAAAATAAAATATATATATATATATATTTTTTTTTTTGATCTATACCTTAGTATTTTGTCACATTCAAAAATCAACTCTATATGGATTGTGGGTTTCAAAACCATAACACTATGAAAGAAAGGATAGGAGAAAGTTGCCACAGACTCAGCAAATTTACGGACACATTTGCATATTTGAACTTTGTCAACATTTTCACCTAACAGGTTCTGCAAGTGGCAAATCAGAGCAGCACCTGGGATATCACTTGTTTTTTGAGTCCAAGGGCATGATTTAGAGGCTGTCACTGGACTGAAAGCTTATTTGTGTGACATAAAAAGCAAATATTCAGGGATAATAAAAATGTTCAACTAGCAGTAAAGAAGTAATGTTTAACATTCAATCTAGTGCAAAATATTGATACAACACAGGAGTTTCTTTGTGTTTGTTTTGCAAGGCAACAAATATCACATACTGCTCTAAGGCATTCCCCCATTAGCCACCTGATTGTGGAGAACAGGGCCTAGGTCATGTGCCTTTGGTCACAGTAGGGATATTAGCAGTCTAAAATAGTGGATGAAAGAAAATGACAATATAGTCCGGCCCATGTGGCACAGTGGTTGAGCGACAACCTATGAATCAGGGGGTTGTGTTTTGCTTCCCCAGTGTGGGAGTGTGTGCAGAAGGCAGCTGATCAGATTCTCATCATTGATGTTTTTTTCTCTCTGAAATCAATGAAAACATATTTTTGAAAAACAAGGAAATGGCAATATATAACCTTGATATAAGCAAGAAATCATAATGGAATTGTGGAATTATTTTTGATAAAATTAGAGTTGGTAGTGCGTAATCCACCTAAGTAGGGTAATGTAAGAAAGGCTTAAAAATGTTGCTCATCTTTTAAACAGTAATTCCAAACTATTTTTTTATTTAACATTTGGTATCAGGAACAGGGATAGTATTCTGGACATACACCTTCCACATTTTTTAAAAATAAGGGCGCTGTATATTTTCATCAAAAATGTGTATTCATAGATGGTAGCTTAGCCTTTGTCGAAAAAACATGCAGGTAGTATTTACATTAAGAGGACTGCCCCAGAAGAAACACCAAATCCATAATATACCCCCTTCAAAAGTAAAGAATATTTAATTGTAAAGTAAACTATAGCATCAGTATCTTCTAACAGTTTAGATATGATTAATGTTCTGGACCTCCATGGTTTCTACCTACCATGCAAACGTCTGGTTCGTCTTAACACAGTAGTCTTTTCTCCATAAGTTACTTAATAGAGTTTATACATCTTAATTGCTCTTTTTGAAAATATCACCAGGCAGTTCAGAATAGCTCATTTATTGATAATATCGTGACATTCAAGGACCTTAAAATTGGCTGATGACAACAATAGGGGATAGGGCAGACTTTCATAGCGGAATGTATGGGATTGTCATTTTTACTCCATCTTGACCCATTTGAAAATGTTTTCTACTCAACCTATATATTTTAGATAAACATAGATATAGATAGCACTACTTAGAAAAAAAGAAACACTTCTTTTCTGCTCAGAATTCATTGGGGGCTAAATGTTAATCTATACACACTTTATACATAACATGTACAGACTTTGTAACCAAGTGCCACACAACTAGGGCACGCACACATATTCGTTACCTTGGTTGTCAAAGGTTACTTGTCAACTCTGCATATTTTTGTGCCAAGGAGATACTATCAACATTATTTTTTGCATAATGTGCAAGTATTATATGGCCACAGAGTGTAATACAAATTAGTGGCAAAGTGCTGAGGGGAGGAATCCATGACAGATTCAGATGCGCAAGGTTGAATATTACCCGTAAACTACCTGACTCTGCTAAGGTCTTTGCAGCACGGAACGCTATGTCATGCCCCGCTTTTAAAGTCTCTGATAAACTTGGACACAATGAAGCTTGTTCAAGGAATTTTACCATAGCCGCCAGCAGTCGGACTGGTAGGAGCGATATGTGGCATTGGGGGAGCCATGGGGAAGATCACCCAGACAAATCTTTTCCAAGACATGCCATCTTTCCTGAAAACAATTTTACTCACTCCATCATGACCATGATTGTTTACTGACATGTGCTATTTTTCTTTTTTTTCTCTTGGGGTTGGGGCTGTGGGAAGGGCATTAAAATGTCATAGTAGAATTAGGGCTGCCAAGGTTAAGGGGCCTAAGTAAGAATTTTGTTAGCATTGTTGATTCTTACACTCATCGATTCCTTGAGAAAATTATTGCGTAAGTTAGGTTATTGGGAATGGGAAAATCGTATTGCAACCCAATTCCCCCCCCCCCCAAAAAAAATTAAATGTCATACCTATGACACCTATTAAGTGGGCTGGTTAAAAAAAAAAAAAGTCTCTGTTCTAAATTTTCTTTTAACATCTGAAAAAAGAGGAAGATAAGAGTTTTCTTAAAAACTTCATAGCATCAGTTTCTATTTGTTTTACTTATTTTTAATACATGAAATCTTATGTCTATTCTAATTCAAATTCCTTTTGCTCAAATTCTTTCCTAAGCTCTAGGGAGCAGGAATGTTTAAAGCTTTCCTCACTTAATAACTGAAAACTTTTCAATCAATTTTAGGTCTGCAGCAAACCAGCTGCCTTCACAGTAGTTCAGCTGTGCTTTAAAAGCAAATAGTACTTATAAGGACAACTGAATTCGGAGTTTTCAATGATCCCATTTCAGTTTCCTAAGTAAAAAGCCCAACACTAAAGCAACCAGGTTGACTACCAATGAGTTTATCAGGGCCTCGGGCACTGGCAGGAAAAGAATGGGCCATTTCAGAAACACATTTTAAGGAATTTGGATACCCCTATTAACATTGAGGAAACCTTAAGAAAAAAAAAAAAAAATAGAAAGTGAATAGAAAAAGAAAAAAAAAAAATGGCAACACTGGCCTCCGACTTTCCCATGACCATCAGCACACCCTAATTTTGTATCTTGAAAATTGTGTTTAAATTCCAGGTGTGTATTTCATATTTTCTTCATGAACAGAGTTCAACTTATATTCCATTTATACCTTTTAAAAATACATTGCTTATTAAGGAATATTTATACAAAAAGTCCCTTTCTCCTTACTTATTTTGTTATTTATGGCCTTTAAAAATATGCATTCATTAGCTTAAAAAAAGCCTTGCCATAAGTGAAGTGCTGTGGCATAAATGCAGATGAAAACACACTCTCTAAGCACATAACTGCTAGGGGCTGGATTAATGTTTTTTTTGTTTTGTTTTGCCAGCGAGTCTTTAGACTATCCTGCTCTGTTTATTAAGCAAAATGTTAACCCCAAACAGGTTATGATCTTCATAGTTAAACTTTAAAAAGGAGCATGTGTTTGTGATTTAAATTTACAGTGTTCCGAGTGACTTTTAAGATTCAGTAAAATATCATCAAGAAAGTATGAACATGCACCTACCCGAGAGGACCACCTTTGACTCTGGGAAGTTACTCCACATAAGCAGACAAACCCTACCATGTCATACCATACAAACAATTTTAATTGTGTAGTTACAGTCAATAACCACTCCTATTCAGAATATTTCTGCATAAAGAAAATTGTGATACACGTATAAAAACAGCCAGCTGTAACAAAATAGCTGGTGTTTTCATAGCCATAAACTCATAAAAAATGAAATACACCTTTATACAGAAATTTTATACAGATGTAGCTTTAAAATTGATTGTAAACCAAAGGAAGACACATTGCAAACATCAATTATTTTCACATTAATTGCATAATTTTCTAAGGTAATCTATTAGTTTTATTTACCTAAGCTTATTTGCATGATAGTAAAAATTGCATACAACAATAAGAGTGAAGCTTATAGTATGAATTGCTTGGATAACATAGAGCACTTTTTATAGGCAACTGTGTAAAGCACATTTTCTCTATTTAAAACTTTTAAGACACTTTGTTTTACTGCCCATCAAAATACATTTATAAATAGAAAAAGAATCAGTATGGTAACAAGAGAAGCAATATTACATTTAACGGAAACTTCCAAAAAATTAATTACAACATGATGCTGCAGGATCTACAAATAAATAATGAGGACTAAATTGTGTTTCACATTTTCTTTTCATTTAAAAAAAATATGTAACAATGAGAATGAAAAAAAAATTACAGTGAACTTTTTATTTCCAAAATAAAAACAAGTTTGAATTACGGCAGTGCCATATAATACAAGGCATTTGTTGGCATATGTCATCTTTAAACTGCATTCCACAGTCTATAGTTCTTTTGTAACATACAATAGAGTAACAAACTCTTTTTTTTTCTTTTCTCTCTCTTTTAAAATAAGGGGCGAGTTTCCAAAGATCAGTGTGTGGAGTGTTACAGAAATAACGCAAGGAAGGAAATCATAATCACAGAAGTTATAATGCTTGTTTGAGGCTCCAGAATAATAATCATAATAATTTTTTTTTTTTGAAAAAAAAATCACTGGTATCATGCTGACGGGGTGGGGGGTACACACCTCGGTGCATCTCGAGAACACAAATTTGAACTTTTCATACCAAACAATCCTCAATGCTTCACCTGGGGCTGCCGAGCAGTTTGCAAAACAGAGGAAAACGTGTTAGTGCAGTCTGTCTGATCCCTTCTCCACTTTGTGCAAGTTTCTGAAGATTCATTGGCCAAACCACGAGGGTTTTCTGGGCGCATGACAGGTGGACTTTTCACTGTGTTGAGTCAGTACCAGTGGGGTTGCCGAGGGAAAGCAATAATTTGCGCATCTCAGTCTTTCAAGTCGGCGTGAAGGTCCGTGCTCCCCTCCGCCGCCAGCTCGTCCTCCAGCTTCACCGCGAACAGGGTGCTGGCGTTCTTGTCCTGCGCGCCGCCGCCCTCCTCCAGATCCTTCAGCAGCTCCTCCTCCTTGTACTCGGCCACGTCCACCTCGAGGCCCGCGTTGTCCTTCAGCTTGCCGTGGTGCTTGAGATAGTACCGCTGGTTCTGGAAGAACTTGGTGATGGTGAACTGGGGCAGGTCCAGCTGCGCGGACAGAGTCTGGATGGCCTCCTCGTCCGGGTACAGGCCCACGTCCTGGATGAAGCTCTGCAGGATGCCCAGCGCCTCCACTGAGATCTTGGTGCGCGGCCGCGGCTTCTGGCGGGCGTCGTCCTCGGCCTCGGCCGGGGCGGCCACGGGGGGCTGCCGCGGGGGGAGCCGGGGCCCGGCCGGCGGCTGCGCCTGCGGCTGCGGGGGCGGCGGCGCGGGCTGCGGGGGCTGCGGCTGCGGCTGCTGCGGGGGAGGAACAGGCGGAGGTCAGACTGCGGAGCGCATGGCTGGGGGATGATGCGGAGTCTGGCTTCTGGGATGGGGACAAAGGCTCAGGCCCAAAGGCAGGCCAGCGCAATGATCCACAGCATGCAGAAAAATACCAAAAGGATAGTGACTAGGAAGGAAGGACTGGGGTTTCGGGGAGCAGCTGGAACTACGGAGCGCATGGCTGGGGGATGATCCCGCATCTGGCTTCTGGGATGGGGACAAAGGCTCAAACCAAAGGCAGGCCAGCTCAATGACCCTCAGTATTCGGTAAAATACCAAAAGGATAGTGACTAGGAAGGAAGGACTGGGGTTTCGGGGAGCAGCTGGAACTGCGGAGCGCATGGCTGGGGGATGATGCGGAGTCTGGCTTCTTGATAGGGACAAGGGCTCAGGCCCAGAGTCAGGCCAGTGAAATGACCCACAGCATGCAGACAAATATCAAAAGGATAGTGACTAGGAAGGAAGGACTGGGGTTTGGGGATGCTACTGGGCCTCCTTCTCATAGGTCACCCGAGCCTCCCTAACCCTGATTTTCGGTCTGGCTCACAGACGTGAAAACTCAGCGCTCTGAAAATGTGAGCCAGAAACGTTACCAGCAGTTTGCACATCAAGCAAAGCAAGTTATGATGTAAATAATTAAGAAAGATTCCAAAGGAAGATGGAGAAGGGTTTCGAAGGCATTTTAGAGGGGGGGGCACAGAGCCATGAAAGCAATGTGTTTTGCCCTATGGCTTCGGGCAGGTATAACAGGGAGCAAGGTTTGAAAGTTGTATTTACATTTGCAACCAACACGGCTGGTCCTCCCCTCTTCCTCAGCTTTCTCTCTTAGGAGTCCAAATGGTTTTTGAGATGGTCACAAAAACCAGTTTGTGAAACTCCTACCAGATAGTCCTGATGTCATACACAGTGTCTTACCAAATGGTACTAGGCTGACACTGCACGTTTTTTTTCTTACTGATAAAGGTCCAATCTGCTATTAGCAAGCTGTTTTGTCCATAGTGAACTTCGATGTGATTAGGGTTGAATTTCCGTATACACGGACACTTTTACATGATTAGTGCCTGTATGTGTGCTGTGATATGTGTATGTAACTGAACTGGCTACCATAACTCCTATCAGCAAAGCAAATCAACCCGAGCGAGCAGCAAAATATCAGAACATTCATACAATGCCTACCCAGTTCCTTTTATCCCCTAAGAAGCAATTTTTTTAAACACGATGTACATTTTCAAACAAGTCCTACTTTTATTACTTAGTGCATATCTTCCTCTCTTTTTTGTTTTCCCTAAACAGTTTTTCAGGCTTTCGGGGTTATTTTAGTGCTTGATATCCAAAGGGATTCTCTTTTTCAATTTATCTTGAATACATACTCAAGGATATTTTTTCCCCCTAGTGGATGGATAACCCTGTTATTGTTTTTAGCTACCTATGTATTTTCCCCCCAGTCACACTCAGAAATAATGCAGGTGGTTCGCCAAAGAGAGTAGCATTTTAAGACTCTGGAAGGCGGTGGCATTTTTCCTGAAAGGGGAAAGCCAAAAACAGTTCCCCTTCGATTTAACAAAAATAAGTTATACAGCTTAAGTTCTATGTCAACATCCTTCCTAGGCAACTGAGGCCCTAAGAGCACCTAGGAAATACCTGGCCCCAGAGATGTCCAACCTAAATTCTCGGGGGAGTTTCCCTTGGTCTGGTGAATGGAGACAAGTCCCCTGACATGACAGCTCAGTGCAAGGCTGAGGCTGTGGGCACAGCGGTCTCAGCCTACCGCCCTGGCCAGTGTCCCCTTAAAAGTGTGACCGTCCTGACCAAGGGTGCAGGTCTGTGAGCCACCCCCTGCCTGTGCCCGCCTCTCTCTGGCAAAGGGGCCGGTGCCCGCATACCTGGGGGGCAGCCCTGGGCCATGGCGCAGGGGTCAGCAGGCCTGGCAAGAAAACGCCTCTAAGCTCTCCTTTGCCACGGGTGCTGGGAGAGGGGCTCTGAAGGAAAGACACAGATGTGACTCACCCTTGACCCGTGTTCTAGGAGGGTGTGGGGGGACAGCTGCAAGGGGGCGGGAGGGCCAAGGAGCAGGGGGCAGGATTCCATGTAGGCTTCCCTCCCCACCTCCTCTCGGACAGAAATCATGGTACAAAACGGTGATTCTACGAAACGTCTCTGCAGAAAACAGCAGCACTTCCTGTCCTTGGGTGCAGTTTAGGTATTAGTTGTTTTAAAAGGTGGTATGTGTTTTAAATTCTGAGTTTTAAAAAAATAATTGAAGAAGCACATAGTCATAGAACAACCCAATTCTAACAGAGACTCACTTGCCAAACAAGAAGTGTAAAAAGGGGGTTCCTGCCACTCTGGGGCTGGGGAGTGAAGGGAGAGGAACATGAAACACATGTTGGAAGAAGTGTTAATTTTCCTCTCATCCCCCTGAGCAAGGCGGCAGCCTGTCTCTCTCCCCCCTCCCCCCCCCCCCCCCTCAAAAGTCCATGTGTAGGCTGCTGGGAAGGAGGGAAACGCTAATTTCCCTGCTAAGTTGAAAGCCCTGTTTGCTTAGTGCGATATTGAATTGGCCAAGGTACACGAACCTGGATCTGGTCGGCGGGGACGTGGATGATGTGGGGTGGCCTGTCGCCATGGTGATGCACCGCGTTGCTCTCCTGCTCATAGATGGCATCGCGCTCCGGCTGAGGGAGGCTGAGGAACCTCCGGATCATGGAGAGGTTCTCCCACAGGGTCCTGTTTTCTGGAGAAGGGTCTTCTTTCCAGCGCAACAGCTCACACAACCACCCCTTAGAGACAAGGGAATAATAGGTCAGCTCATGCAGGGGACAGGCTGACAATTTCCATTAGGAGCGTAAAATGGAAAGACCCTGTGAAGTTAATGTTTTTCATAAGCTCAAAATACTCCAATCTGCTTTAAACAATTTTGCTAGACCTCTGAGAAGAGCTGTGGTTGTCAGAAAGACAGGCTCTGTTTCCAATAAACATTCAGACTCGCATCTTAAAAGAGGGTAATGTTTTTCAGACTCCAAGGGCAAGACAGTTACCCTTCGGGGATCTGTGATACGTGGAACAGGAGTCTTGCCCAATTTTTTTGTCTCTTGAGTGGCCACCTGAGGTTCTGCGGGTATTTAAGGAGAGCTAGGACAGACGTTTAGAATACGGACTGAAAAAGGATTTCCTAAGTTTGGGATATGTGCAATAGAAAGGACATTAGGCATGGATATTTGTGTGTATGAAAGAGAGGAGGGATATGTGTGCAGCTGTGTAGAATTTTGTCCACCATAGAAAGCAGAATGACTAGATGGGCATTAGAAGAAATCTCAAGGAAGAACTTTCCAGAGGGAGAACTTGGAGTCCTGCTCTTCTGCCCGTTGCCGTATATACTTGTGATTTGTCAGGTGACCATTTTAACAGATTTCCTGGGCAAAGAGTGAAATACCAGATTATCAAGAACCCAGTGGTCTAATGCAGTGCATTGTCCAACCTTTTCTAATCACCATCTCAGACCTCCTTTATCTTGGCTGCCATGATGGATATTAAGGAATGGGGTATCCCTCCCAGACCCCCTTCACCAGCCAAGGCCACCACACGCAGTTGCTGTGCTGCCTGCTTAGAGCCACACTGTTTTGCGGAGAAAGGTCTTGGAGGCATCTCACCTAGAGATGCCTGGACAGTCACTCCACTTCCCTCCTGGTCCCCTCGCCCAGGGTGGCCATGCCTGGCCAACCCAGTGGTTCAAAGTCTCTGTACCTTCCATGTACTGCTGTTTTTACAGAGGAATTTATTCTCTGGAGATGACCTTGTCTCCCCTTTACCTGGGACCCCTCTTCCCATATCCTCTTTTCTCCTTCCAAGTCCCTCACCAAACCACGGGCACCTGACTCCCCATCTCAGGTTCTGCTTTAGGGAACAAGGCCTAAGATACAGGGGCTAATACTTAAAATTTTTTAACTAAATTAGTTGGATGTGAATGGATCAAGTACATTTTCTTTATTATCTGATTTTTAGAACGAGCTAAGGCAAAGGTATTTTTGTCTTTTGTTTTTTTTGTGTGTTTTTTTTGTGTGTTTTTTTTTTGTGTGTGTGTTTAATGTTACCTTTGGAGTGAGAATTGTATGGTTTTTTTTCCTCCCTTTCTTCTCAGCCTGAACCACTAGAGAGAAAATTCCCTTTCCAATTGCAGTATACAGGGGGAAGAGGCAAGGCACACTCTCCCCAAAATGGCCTAGTAGTAGAGAGAACTGAGGCATTAGTTTCCCAAGGCCCATCTCCTAACCAGCCAAGGGTGACTGCTGCTCACCACCCAGGAGACCTACCAATTTTTCCGAGAGCTTTGATTCTCTACTCAACAGGTCTTTTAATTAAACAAATATGTACATGGGGACGGTCATGCACTCATTCAATGCCACCGAACGCATAATAATTCAAGGCTAAAAGAGCAGGCAGTAAACTGAAGATGCGCCTAAGAGAATATTAGCTAAATAAAAAATAAAAAAAAGAATGCTGATTACAGTGTCATTGAACACGCTTCTCCTAATCTTGGCAACCCTATGTTTATTTCCAGAATAATATGACATGTCATATTTTAGCTCTATTTATGTTTGTACTTTATTGCCTGGGAAACTATATTCCAGTATTTGAAATATTTGAGACCCTGAAGATGATTAGATAGCAAATATTAGCTAGGAAGCGCTTAATAGAGTAAGCCATGAAAATACTTTCTATTTTCTAAGCTATTTCTTTACACTTTACCTCTAAGTTTTGATGCTGTGATGGTTTTAGATATATCTTCCCATAAGTCTGAATATTAACTACTAGAGGCCCGGTGCATGAAATTCATGCACAGGTAGGATCCCTAGCAGCTGCCGGTCAGGGCCTCCCTCCCTTCCCCTGGCTGGTCGGCCCCCTGGTCAAACTACAGGAAAAAATTTGGTCAAGGGGACAATTTGCATACTATGCTTTTATTATATAGGATTTACTTTCCTTCTCCTTCTCCTGTCTCAATTCTTCAGCTATGGCATTTGACTCCCCTAACCCTATTCCTAAACACCACAAATACTATAATTTTACTTATTTTTCAAGATCATAAAAATGCTTTTTTTCCTTTTTTAACTTACTAGTAGCTAGTCTTACATTATTGCAGTAAGTGCTCAACATTGAGATTCTAAGAATTAAAAACACACACACACACTAATGCTTACAACTAAAAATTGCTAAAAGTTAAATTAAGAACGATTCATGTAAGAAAAGCTTCTTGGAGAGAGCCAAAAACTCCAATAATTTTCAAATCCTTTAGAAACTTTTTCATGCCGAGATCAGTTAGCACTTGGATATATATGAAAAAAAAAACATGTGGATCACAGATGTTCTCTGGAAAAGAAAATCATTAGTTCTTTTAAAATGGCTAATAATGATAGCTAATTCCTAAACAATCACATTCACGCTGGTTCCACAAATATTTCAGAAAAAGGGCCCCGACTCATTCAACAAATATTTGCTCATATTGTCACTTGTGTGTCTCTATACTTATGAGATAGATCCTTATTTTTATTAATTGCCTATGACTAACATAACATTTCCAGTAGTTTGCTATTAACCTCTGCCCTTAAATAATACTTCTAATTCCTTATCTAAGAATAATTTGATGAATTATAAGTTTGAAGCATGCCTCTGCTAGTCTTTCAAGAAACACGGTCACTTAAAGAGACTGAAATCAGATGCTTCTTAGGAAAATATTTAACGGTACAGCTGGGAAGTGTTAGCTCTACAAGGATATTCCAACAAAACAAAAAGGGGTTTCTTTCCTTGATGTGCGTATCTCTTAAAAAGTAATGGAAAACAGATATTCTGACACACTAGTTCTCCGTCAGCAGAGAAAATAATTTGGCTCATCCCCAATTCACACTGGCAAAATAAGATGAATTTTTTTCTAACGCTATTTCAATGCCTTGGAATATTCTGACCACCTCAGATTCTATGGATTGAGATTCTATTAACGATGACAGTAATCTAATCTAATCTTTTGCAGGAAGTGGCTAAAAGAAGCCAAATGCTTTCTAACCTTTTTTCTAGATCGCTTTTCCGTAAGTGATATTGTTAGAGCATATAAATTGGGGAAGAAAACGAACATGTCAGAATATTGGTAATATTCAGCAAATAAAAAAAATAATGATTCCCCTAAGTACTGCATAGGTTTTAAAATGATAAATATGTAGATTTTCTTGGTAGAGGAGTGATGAGGAATGAAATGCAGCGATAGGTTGCAAAATGTGAACATAATTACATTTTTTTAAGAGAGGTCTCTGAGACTTAAAATATTGTAAGACCACAGGCTGGGGTAGGAAACTACTCTCAGAATTAAACTCAATGACAAAATTAAACTCAAAGAGTGGCAAAGAGAGAAGACGAAAGGCCTTCAAATAATTATACTAATCCATTCTCAGGAAACCAAAATGGCACAAGGAACAACCTAAACTTTAAATGTAGTAAATTTGCCAAGCAACATCACACTGCATATAAAGAGGGCAAAATATAAACAGTGGCCACATGTAAGTAAATTAGTAAAACTTTCAGGATGTTACTACTTTTCAAACTGACAAAGTTTAATTTGACACCTTCTGTTCTAAACCCTTTGTTTCTATTCAAAATCACGCCTTGAGCTGTTGCTATCAATCACAGAGCTCCCTCTATTACTTAAAAAAAAAACACCAAAACTGGCATGGACCCTGAATAAGCTGAAAATGCCATGCAGATGAATTCTGAGATAATATGTTCAAACCTGTTATATACAACACAAATCCTGTAAAGTTATGTATTGTAAACCTACATTTATTGAGAACTAAAAGTCTTAAATCCATCTGCCACAAAGGAAATACTGTTATGTACTTTATAGTAACCAAGAACCATCTGTAAATGTCTAGCCACCGTAAGCAAGAAACTGGTGCAAAGGATGCTAATGCTAAGATTGCAGGAAATAGCATTCTTTTGACTGAATTGGTTAGGGGCCTATTAAAGAAATCTGAAATCGGGGGCAGGGGAGGAGGGGGGAGGGGAAGGAGAGAGAAAATGCAGAGTGACTGCCAAACCAGTACTGACAAAAAGCAAAACAAACTCAATGACAACACAATGGCAATTTATTATGGCCCATGAAACACACGACTGTATGCTCATTTTAAAGGAAAAATTAGCAGTTCTAAGCTCAATATTCTAATGATGTGCTTTACTGACAGAATCTTGTTGTGCCACATTTAAATAAAAATCCTGGCACCTTCCTCTCTCAGCTGCTAATTTCCACCCAAACTCAACCCCTGATTTCCACTCTCGTCAGAACAGTTAATTCAAGTCAATTCACTTCTTACATTTTAACGGGTAATGGGTGCATGATGATGTTCATGTTGTAAGGAGAGGAACCTCATTTCAGGAATGAATTTATTGTACCTATAGGGTCTCACACATAAACAGAGAAACCTTTCAAGGCCTGGCCTGTGATAAAGCTGGGAGCATGCAACACAGTTAGTTTTCCAAAGGAAAACAGACTTCCCGTATTCTCTGAGGAAAAAAGTCCTATGTATATATGCTCATTCTATACATATGCATTTTGAAGCCAAGAGCTTTAACAAGAGAAAGAAAATGACAAATAATTCTTGCTACAACTAAAAAGGAAAATACATTTTTAAAAACAGAATGGTAATTTGAGTTCTAAAAAGCAAAACATTTTATAGTCTGTATTTACCCCCCCCCCCCAACCTCCCATCTTTTATGTGTTATTTGCAGAGTTATTTCGTTG